CAAACCAGGACATAGGAGACATCAGACTACTGAACTTGCTTTTCATTTTTTGATCATGAGACACCCATGGATTGCTGCTTTTTGGTTGATACTGAATTTCTCCTTTCCAGAAAGGTATGGGGAACAAAGCATAAGTAGAATTAAATTAACTCCATTCCAGAACAAAGCAAGTATTCCAACAGAAACTATTTCTTGACCTTGACAGAGCAATCCAAGCTCTTACAAACACTTGCTTTTGACACTGAAAAGTCCTCTATGCAGCTGTCTTGGACATGATGTTTTTACAACACAAAAAAAGTCTTCACTAGTCATATAAGCCTCATCAGCTTCACCGTGGTAACTTCCAGCAGATATGAGTGTGATTCAGAGAACTCATTCTCACAAGAGATGAAAATGAACAGAACTTAGATATTAGTTTTCCAGCCTAACTTTTCATTATCATTAGGTCTTTGCATAAATCAAACTTTTTTTTTTTTTTAAACAAACGTCTCCTTTTTCTCTAAAATTTATAGCGTTTACTAACGTGGATACTTGTTTTTTTGGAAACAAGGTGGAAAAGGAGAGAGATTTTGCATCAGTACAGATAGATGGCATGTGCTATTGAGGCCATTGTCAAAATACACGTATGTAAGTGTCACAGATACGCATTGCTGAGCTTTCTACTTGAATGTTCTGTTGCTGTATGGTTTGATGTAATTATCTGGGTTTCCACCAAAAAACCCCTATCATGCCTAAGAATTAAGATTTGTATTATGGATGAGCATTTTGGCCTAAAATCTGCAGAGCCTGTTTTTCTAGTCTCACAGCACAGATCTTGGCCACTTGCATTAACTCACTGGAGTATAGGAACAGGAAATCATAGTCCTGGGATACCTGAGTTCAGTTCCAGGCTCTGAAGTTTGCCTTGGCACTGGTTACTTTCAGTTCCCTGGTAATGGAACTCCTGAGCCCTTCCAGGCAGCAACGTTCTGAGTGGTTACATGAGTGCAGACAACTTGAACTAAACGGAGTTTTATTTGCATTGTGTTTTCTGAAAAAATGTTATACAATTTTTACTGAATGTGTTTCAAATACTGTGCTATTCTAAATACATAATTATCACTGCACATTATTGGCTTAAACCCTTGCAGGCTAGATAATTAAAAACCATTGATATATAAAATAGATCAGAAAGGTTTTTTTTACGGACTTCCTAAATTGAATATTTTTCCAAGTTTTTTTTTTTTCAAGTATGCATATTCATCTCAAGTGGTTCTGCTCAGTAAGTAGAACACATATTGTGTGTAACTGTTTATTTAATAGATTTTTGTCTTCTGTGTTTAATTTTTTGTGACAACTGTCAATACATGTAGTAATTTTCTTGGAAGAAAAATTTCTGTCTCTTTTTTGGCAGACGATAAGTTGTTTGCTGCTAGAACAAGGATTTTAGAAAACTACTCTGTATAACCTTGAAAAGTTTATACTTTGGGGCGAAAGTTGTGACCTTTACATAGATTCTTGTGCCCAAGAGGAAACGAAAGTGAAATTATTTCAGTACATGAGGCTTAAGAATTAGCAAAAGGCTTGTGCTTTTTATGCATCAGTGAGACTGGTAAGCAAATAATCATACAAACAAAGGCCATAGATTATAAGGAAGCCACAAAACTGATTGTAACCTAAAATAAACTTGAAGTTCAGCATAGATAATGTGCTTTAAATGAAGAGCGCAATGTTTGGCAAAACTAAAGGCAAGCAAGGTCTCAGAGATTACACGTGTTATTGATGGAAACTGGCCAGACTGCCAACTGCCAAGTATATACTGTTGTCAGCGTAAAACATTGAAATGTGCCAGGGTTCCAGATTTCCAAATTTTGTTCTTGACTTCATTCAGCTCTTTCTTATTAGTAACTTGTGTCCTGCTCTATTCAGCAAAGCAGTCAGCAGTGAAGTCTTTTTGAACCCTTGAGAAGGCAGAGGAAGCTGCTTACCCCCGACTACCCAAATGCTTGTTAGGGCACTGACGACCCTCACGTCCTTCCCGTGGAAACCAGAGCCATGACCCCTCTCACTGCTCTGCTACAGGCTGGAAGGCTAACGCATGTGGGGGAGAAGTGAGAGAAAAACATGCCACTGCTATGTCCTGAGGACAACGTGTGGACTCAGAATTGAACTCAAGTGACAAGAGCAGGTAGATTAGAAAAGTGGCACACAAGCAACACGAAGTAAGCCAGCTTTCCCTCTGTCTAGAAAGGGGTCAGTGGCAGCTAAGAGCTTGAGGCAGCAGTTTGGTACACAGAAGAGGCAGCATGCCTCCAGCCTCCTGTCTTGACTGATGGAGCTGCCTGTTTGTTCCTACAACTCTTCTACGGTATAATGTAATTATAAAGTACATTCTTAGGGGAGTTTTCCCGAAAAAATGAAGCAAATCCCAACAGTTTTTGACATATGTGTGAATATCCATGGTAAATAATAGTTTGACATAATTTTGAACTGACTCAGTGTAATATGTGGCAAGAGCATCTGACACTTCTGATGAAGTAATTTCGTATCATTACTTTATATCTGAACTATATAAAGGATATATTTCTGCATCAAGAAAGTTGGTCTCCTGGATTTGTTTTTTTTCCCAGGAGGTTATTCTTTGTTCTATCTTAGGCTTCATGTGTGTGTTTTAATAACCACATATCAAGAATCTCTGGAAAGATAATTTAAAAGCAAAATAAATCTCTCTTGCACTTTTAATTTTTTGGCTTGGTGTACAATTTTAATGTTTTATAGAAAATGCTTCATTTTGGGAGATTTGCTTGTGACTGTTCTGGAAGCTAAAAAAGCTGCTTAAATTAGATGAATAATTTTTAGATTGCTAAAATTTGCGGTCTCTGTTAGCAAAATTAGGTGAGTTGAATTCCATGCTAAGAATTTGAAAATCACTGTTCAGATCTCTTTAAATCACAAGGATAAAAACAAAAGAGAAGTCAAAGTTTTTGTTTTCACTTTGTGAAAACTTTTACGATATGCTATGTCACATTTTCCAGGTTTTTTCAGCAAGTACAGGAGCTAAAAAATTGTAACTTTTTACAATGAAAATTAAATTTCTCATGACATCATTTACCTTCAGAAATAGGGACTTTTTTGAGAAAAAACTGCCGTTATAGAACGTGAAATTAGTCTCTAACTTTGGTCACAGTGAGACATATCATATATGGAGATTTGATTATTATGGGCTCAGAAGTATGAATGAAGTTGAACGCCTGAAAGAATCATTTCACATGGCAGCTGACTCTGAATGTGCTCCTAGTCTATTGGAAACGGACGGTAAAATGTGTGTGTATCTTAAACTACTGTCCCTGGATTTTACACCTAAGACATTCTTCTACCTTATGTTTGGCATGAGATGGCAGTACCTATAGGGTGATATGAATGGCTTAAATGATTTATAACATCTTGTTAAGCTGAGGTAACTTTCTATGGGCTTGCACCCAGTGCTTGAAGAGTGATTGAAAAAGCATTTTGGACTGATTATTCTGTGCAGTATTGTTGGATAAATGAAGATAAGCTATAGCAAGAGAAGATGTTTGCATCTGTCTTGTGGAACTGGGTAAAAGTAAGCTTGGAAAATAAGACCTTGTTTTTCTGCTATTAACCAATTTATTGTCTAGTGCCACGGGCTCTTGGATTACTCAGCCCATGTTTCCTACTGTTGTATTTGCAGCAAACAGCTGGTCACATCCTAAAGCAAAGTTACTTCTCTTTGTAACAGCTGGACTGTGTGCTGCAATTTATTAGTGTTGGGCCTCCTCCTAGACTTTAGTTATAATGAAAAAGAAGTAATTCTTGCACATTACACTTCTAGAGCATCATAAATTAAATGTATTTGCTTTACTACAGTATTTCTCTCCAATTTGTGTTTTGAAATTGATTGCAATTTAGTGATTGCAAAGTATCTGTGGGCTTAAATAAAACAACTGTTAATGATCTCTTCTCTTCTTGCAGAAAATTACATCAGCAGTTTGAAATGTATAAGGAGCAAGTGAAGAAGATGGGTGAAGAATCACAGCAGCAGCAGGAGCAGAAGGGTGATGCCCCAACCTGTGGCATCTGCCACAAAACAAAGTTTGCTGATGGCTGTGGCCATAACTGTTCATATTGCCAAACTAAATTCTGTGCACGCTGTGGAGGAAGAGTGTCTTTACGGTCAAATAAGGTATGGAGTTATGAAAGTTTAGTAACAAGCTTCTCCTAAACTCAGTATCTCTTATTCATTGCTTGTGCATCCAAATCACATAGCTACTGAAACGGATTTCCTTTAAGGAGGTAATGATACCTACTTTAGGGGCTTTTAAGACATCTGTCCTCATTTCAGGTAATTGTCAGTTGCAGATGGATTTGTGACTATGGCTTTTAAGTTAATATATGCCACATTTCTGCTAACAGACTAATGAAAGTACAAGTCCTTTTTGATTTAAAGGTTGAGTCTCTGTATTGGAGACAGGGAGGTATATCTAGTGATCTAGTGATGCCAATATTGAGACACCGATTATTTCATGTTCGAGCAAGGATTTGTTTCTTTTCTGCTTGCCCAGGCTCTCCTGTACAAAACTATTGTAAAATTAGTGTTATAACAGTATAAACAATATATTATGAAACCTTCAAATATTTTATCTATTATAAAGATAATTTTTGTAATAATTATAATTTTATAATAATTATAAAGATAATAATTTTATCGAGTATCTTTAAATCTATTATATGTATGCACATATATTCTGTATAGGTACATATAAATACGCATACAAACATCAAAATATTTTTAGGAAAAAAATTAAATGTACTAACAATATAAGGTTACAGCTAGTATACTGGTGTTTATTTTATAACGACAGGTGAAACAGCAATATGAATTTTTACAAAGTTGGATCATAGAGTAAAAAATTTAGCAAAACTGAAGTAATCACAGAAAACAGTTCTGAGAGAAGTTTATTCAACATTTTAGATAAATGTTCACATCTCATACACATCTCATTCTGACAGATACTTGTAGAATATTCATGATAATACTCAAGCTGTCTTATGCTAATCTTTTGTGGAAACATGTCTTTTGTAAACCAATACAATAATTTAATAATTTAGTATTTAGTAATATAACATTTTTCCGGTGTAATCTATTTCCATACATCTATGTTTTTCTGTAATACGTTCATTGTAAATACCATGCAATCTGCAAATTTTGGAAGGCAGGAGACAATGGTATAAATGTTATATATTTCTTTTTCCAAGATTGAAAGGTAGGCTTAAATAATCGACTCACGTTTTTGATTGACAATGTATAAAATAATCTGCTATTTCCTGATAATTAAAGTAACTGAGATTATGTGTAAATTTTTCAAATTGCATTGGATTTTGTTAAGGTGATTTTTAAAATTTTGATTTCAGTAAGCTCACGTATTTTTATTGTGTTTTTGTAAGTAAGTAAATCATGTTGCCAGTAATAACTGATATAATAATTTCTGTATTAACTTCATCTGATTATAAAAGGCAATTAGGACAGATATTTGAGTCATCAAGTCTACATACTTAGAAGCACAGAAAGAGTGGATTAGGAGGAAGGCTTCATGTCCTAATGAAATGTTCTGATTCATCATTTAGACTGTCCTCAGGATGGATCATGTGAACTTGGCAGATATTTGTCTGACTTCTCTTGACAGATTTCCAATCAGATTCTCCCATACTCTCTTAGGTAATTTGTTACACTGCTTCACCATCCTCACTACAGAAAGATTTTCTTACTGTCTAACCTAAATCTGTCTTTCTGTAAGCTGACTTCTCCTTTCAGTATTATGAGTCTGTTCTGCAACTCTTCTCAGCTGGCTTTTTTTCTACTATTGTTGACAATTTAGAGGGATAAATAAGATTTTCTGTCTCTCATTCAATTATCTTCTAGAGAGTTAATGAAAATGCTGGACAGAGTATCTCTATACAAATGCCCTGTGAGGCTTCACTGGTGATATCTTTCCCTTAAAAAAACCTTGACCATTTATTCCTGTTCTTTTCTTCTTGTCTTTTCACCAATTAAGTTTTCTCATGGATGAATTTATTCTTATTCCATGTCAGCTAAGATTCTTTAAAAGCCGGGAAGCCGAACACAGCATTATGAATAAATCCCATTTACTCACCTTCTCTGTGACTCCTTGAAGGAAATCTAATAGATGGAACAGACACAAATTCCCTTTACTAAAACCATTCTGACTTTTCCACATTTTATCATAATTTATTCATATGCTTCCTAATTTTATTCTCTATCTTGGTTCCTACAAATCTGTCTAATGTGGATGTCAGACTCGTCTATTATTCAGTTGATCTAATGCTGAAGTTCCTTAAAAATTAATAAATTTGCATCATATTTGTCACCTTTTATTCTGGCCAATGAAAGTCTCTGTATTACAGTTAAGTTACGTATTTTAGACTTGAGATGTGTTACACTGAATATCATCTAATTTTAAATATTTGTTACTGTTTTTTTTGTTGACTTACTTTATAGCTTCTCTTTCTGAAATATCAGTTTGAAGTATATCTTCTGGTTCATTCTGCATAAAATAATGTTCTAGAGTAAGTATCTCTCTAATCACCATGAACATGAATACAAAAGATTTAATTCAGGCAGACTGTGGCATTCTCGTATTTACGATCTCTTTTATGCTTATACACATTATTGCGTTAAATGATTTTTGGTCTACCAGAATTCATTCTTTTCCATTTTACTTAATGGATACAACTTCAGCTTCTTGAAGGATGACTTCTAATAACTTCCTGTTTTAACTTTGCTAGATTTTCTTTGGTCTTTGTAGACATTTTTTGACAGGTTATGCATGTCTGCTTTGGACCTTATATAAGGTGATTCTTACACTGTCTGAAATCTTCTTTGATGGAGCTGTTTGATCTCTGTGATCTTTTTGATATTGTGTAGTTTCAAGCAAAACTCATGACATTGCAACAGATTCTGCTACTAAATAGTTTATAGTACAGACCAGTGTTAGCCGCATGCATCTCAGAAGATGTAGAATTGCAAAGAACACTTCTTTCAAAGGTCACAAGGAGGACTGCTGCTTACAGGGTTCATGGTCATGAGTAGGAGCAGGACACGGAAATGTTTGACTGTTGTCAAAGCATAAGGTTAGGATTCTCAGAATGATTGGATCATTTATTCCTTTTTCAGTTTACAGTGCCTGAATATGGGCATTAAAATTCAGTTCAGGTTGTATAAAAATTATCATTATGTGGGAGTTCCTTCAAATAAAACTGATAATGGTGCTACTGCTGCTTCTGGACTGTTTATTATCTTAGTGAATGGAGTATTCAGCCAGGATGAGGGCTTAAATTTCATGGGAGTAAGGGACCTTGAACTGTCATCTTTTATGTTTATGAACAATTTCAGATTGATTAAAACTGAAATAATAAATCACATGACAGGAACCAGTAATTGTACTTAGCAATGTAGGTGCAACTGATATACAAAATATACTATTGTTCATTTTTTAATTATACTGATTTATGTAGGGCAATCCACACTGAATGAGGCAGTACACAGCAGAATGAGGTTTATGCAGCTGAGAAATTTACATGCTAAAATATTGGACAAATACAGCTTCCAGATAGATACAACTTTGTGTGCAGTGAATATAAATTTCAACAGCTCAAAATTCCAGTTCAGTAAACCATTTCACTTGTAGAAGAATAAAACAACCCTCATCTGAAAACTTAACTTGATGCATGCTGAATACCTTCTTTCAGGGTGTTTGGCAGCCTGCTATCACTCGCAGCCACTGAAACATCCTTCTCCCTTTTGATTTGAACATCAAAAGTAAGAGATTGTCAGTTGTTTTATAGGACCCAGCAACTGCGTGTGAAACACGTGAAGTATAAGTAGGGAACTTCTCTCAGCTCCCTCTAGTTCTGTGAAAGCTTTGCAATTTGATTATTTCTCTGAGGCTATGTTTGATTTTCAGAAAACCACCGTTCTCGTTGCTGAATGATTATAACTGCAGGACTTGCAGTGTGACCATCTGTATGGAGTCAACCCCCAAAATTTCAGCATGCTTGTGCTAATGTGTAATCCATTTCATTCTGCTGACAACTGACAAGCACTGAAGAACTAGTCTGTCACAATCAAGATTTCTAAGTCACTAGGATTTGGGATAAACTCAATGATTTCCTGTTGCATACAAATAAGTTGGTCCTTAGGAGACACAGTTTGATTCTGTGTTTCTCTAGAAAAGACACGTGACATTGCAAACTTGAGAAAAGGATTTCTCTTAACCGACTGTGGGGTTTGGTTTTTTTTTTTTTTCAGTTTAGTCTGTGTAACATCTGTCAAATCTGATAACCTACAACTGTATTCACCTTCCTGGAGCATCTCAGTACAATTATGTCTGAAAGAAAGGAAGGTCAGCTGCTAAAACATTCCAAACCAAGCTCTTAATTAGAAGCTGGAAATTTGCAACCAGAGGCTCTAAAAGTTGCCCTTCTAACTAGGATGAATTTCACCTCTCTGTCTCTCCATGAATAGAATAGAGTTTGTGTTATCAACTGTATTAAAGACTTCCAATCTGAAATCTGGTCCTGATTATATGAGAACAATGTTAATGCCATAGTGAACATCTATGATTGGTAAGACATCTCTAAACAATGATCAGCTCCATTTTAATTGAGGTGGTCAGCCTCTTTGTCCTTTTGAAAGTTATATCCAAACTTATCAGGACTACAATTCAGCTAGCATATGTCATGGTCCTTAGTACCGTTCCCCACTCCTTCCCCAAATGGGGTTTGGCTGCCTGTGCTCACAGGCAGCTCTGATGTGGTGCAGCTGTAACCTGGGATCAGCCCTGGGGAAAGAGCTGTGTGAGAAGGGGCTGCGATGAGCCCTCTTGGGGCCTCCACCCCCTTGCCTGGGAGCTGCTTTTCAGCTCAGGCACTCAGCCTCGCTCCCTGCCTGAGCCATGCCACTGCCTGCCCAGGTCCCTCACTGACCTGCGTCTGTGGGCTTGGCTTCCCGGCTTGCCTCAGCTCTGCCTCCTCACCATGGACCTGCTGGTTCCTGGATTCTTTGCTGACCCTTGTTACAGTCCTAGACACTACCCTGCTCCTCTTGCATGTATGCTGCGGGACATAACCCTACAGGTGTGGGCATGGCTTGCCTCATGTCACCCC